GGAAGGGGCCTGCCATTGTCTGGGGCTGATTAGGTCGATGGCTAATATATCCTCCTTGTGTAAAAGACAGTAAATCATCCTTTAATCTATTTAATTCATTTAGAAATTTACTCATCTTTTCCAATTGTGTATGCTGGCGTTCTCTCAACTGTTGGAGAGTTTTTCTTGTTTATTTTCTTTCTCCTCCAACCACTGCTGTAGTTTCTCTTCTTGTTCATTTTCTTTCTCCTCCAACCACTGCTGTTGTCTCTCTTTTTGTTTTGTTTTCTCGTTCTTCTTGTTTCTTTTCTTTTCCCTCCAACAACTGCTGTAATCTCTCTTGTTTATTTTGCTGTTCGAGCTGCCACTGTTGCAGGTTTTCTTGCCACTGCTGTTGTCTCTCTTCTTGTTTTATTTCTCGTTCTTCTTGATTCTTTTCTTTTCCCTCCAACAACTGCTGTAATCTCTCTTCTTGTTTCTTTTCTTTTTCCTCCAACAACTGCAGTAATCCCTCTTCTTATTTCTTTTTTTTCCTCCAATAACTGCTGTAATCTCTCTTCTTGTTTCTTTTCTTTTTCCTCCAACAACTGCTGTAATCCCTCTTTTTGTTTCTTTTCTCGTTCTTCTTATTTATTTTCTTGCTCTTCTTGTTTCCTTTCTTTTTCCTCCAACCACTGCTGTAGTCTCTTTTCTTGTTTATTTTCTTTTCCTCCAACCACTGCTGTAATCTCTTTTCTTGTTTATTTTCTCGTTCTTATTTCTTTTGCTGTTCTTGTATTGCTGTCATCAAATCTGCTAGGTCGTAGTTTGATTTGATACTTCTCGTTTCCATCTGTTTTTCTTTTCTTTTTTTTTATCGGTCCCTCTATCTGACACCAACTTGTTAAGTCTCTGGTCGTTTGTTAATTTCCGGTATAAATTCTTCCCGAGAACTTTAGCGATACAAGTCCTTTCTTAAATAAAACTAGTTTATTATTTCTCAATACAACTTTGCAGTACACAGAATTTCCACAGTCACTTTAACTTAAACACACAGGAGTTGCCAGGAAAAGTCAAGATCCTTCGAGAATCTCATGACGTGTTACCAGCATCACGTGACTTTCGCTGTCGTAACAGCTAGTTTAACCTGCATAAGCAGTAAACTGATGTTCCATGGATAACTTATTTTATGTCAGCCAGGTTGAACAAGGATCATTGAACTTCAGAAATGTATGTACCAGAGGAAATCACAAAACATTTGTGTATACAAATGGTATTCCGTAGAAGAAGACTAGTGCATCATTGTCATGTAATGTAGTTGTAGAACCCACAAGTGAAATAAGCTGTTCTTTTCCACAAAGCACGTAGCATTAGCTCAGACAGTTATCTGTTTGAGGCATGGTGAGACTTCTTACTGAATGTCCTGATTTGGACACCATGGCAAGCCATACAGCAGGATATTCTACAAATGGATGGGTGCCACAACTAACATTTTTGGAGCTCTGGGAAGAGAAATACAAGGACCCAGATTTACCTTGAACACTCATTGTTATTCAGCACAGTTAGGCTTGGCCACCACAGATAGAAGAACATAGCACAGACCCGCC